AATAAGATATTTTAGAATCTGGACTTCAATGGAGGCTGTTGATATAAAAAGAAACGTGCTGATACTTTAAGAAATCCTGCTGTAAAGATAAATTAATAGAGTTAAAAAAGGTAATGCTATATAAATTAATGAAAACGCTGGTTACATGAAATGGATAGCAAGATTCAACAGGATTTGTCTTTTTTTGCGTATAGAAAAAGTGGTCATCTGTGAATGGTGAAATGTGACGAACATTTTGCAGTTTTCTTTTAAATTTTGAAATGTTCTCCACTAGTTAGATGTAACTTTTTGAATTAAAAATAGACATTTAAAGTTGCTATGGTTTAGAATATTGGTGCATTTGGAAATTTTGCTTTTTCTACCTGAGAATTTTCCTTCAGAGGAAAAGGTCAGAGAGAGCAGACATGGGTTTGCGTTTCCTCTCTTGGCTGATGCCTTAGGAAACAACAAGACTTCAAAAAGCAAAGCAAAGAAAGAATGAATGAAGGGATCCAGGAAGCCTAACCAGAAACAATCTGTGAAATTTTAGGGAAGTTCGTTCTTACAGACTCAGTTTATGTGAAGTGCTCCCCTTCCTCCATCCTGGGAAGCGCGAGCCTCCCGTCAGACAGACCCCACAGCACCGCATCATCTGTACCTCAGTTAAAATAAGAAACTAGGGAAAAGTCAAGAAAAAAGTCGCTGCCGGTGGCAGGCAGGTTCCGAGTTCCCTGCTAGGAGGATCTCATTTAATTGCCCGATTTTTTTCCCTGTGACAGTCAATGACAGACACCAAGGGAAGTTCCTCTTTCCCCGGATGTGACCTTGAGTGGTGACTGCTGTCAGCAGCTCTGCTCTCAGTAGCAGCTTGGGGTCCAAATGAGCTTCCCCCCTCCCCCTCTGGGCTCCACATTTTCCTCTGGTCCACCAGGGGCCAGCTGACCCTGCCCATCCATCTCACCCTATTTTAGGAGGGGGACAGGAATACAGTGCCTCTTGAGGCCCTTCCCACCTGCATGAGTGCAGTTTAGAGTCTCTTTATGGGTGCCCTGGGCCAAGCTTCTCTCTGTCTCTGTCTCTGTCTCTGCGTCTACATCTGCGTCTGTCTGTCTGTCTGTCTGTCTGTCTGTCTGTCTGTCTGTCTGTCTATGTCTGTCTGTCTGCCTGTGCCTGTCTGTCTGTCCGAAATAGTCCCTATCCTCACACCCAGGAAGCCCCTCCTCCTGTGCAGCGTGCTGTAGAGGGCCCTTAGCATTCAGGCCATGAGGGAAGGTAATTAAACTGAAGCAGAACCCCTCCCCCTTGCCCTCCCCCCTCCTCTGTCTCCCCCTTCCCCTCCCCCTCTTCCTCCTCCTGAAGTCACTGAAAGAACGAACGTGCCAGCTGCAGCCAGGTCCTGATTAGGGAGAAGCAGGGAAGCAGCGAGCTGAGGCGGACAGCAGTTACATAAGGGCGGCCTCTGCGCCTCCGCCCGCCTCAGCACACGCACACGACACAAACGCCTCCCGCACCTGCTGTCAGCAAGATGCAGTTGCCGGGATTCCCAAGGTCATCGCCTGTGCTTTCACTGGCAGCTTATTCGTGTGTCGTGTGGGGAAAACAAGCCATTTGATTTTAAATTATGGATTCTAACTGAGGAGCTCTTTGCTGTCAGATAACTTAAAAGCCTGGACCGGGCGAAAAAGCTATAGAGTTGCAGATTTAGCCCACAGGTTTGGAGTGGGGACCAAGTACAATTTATGACTTAAAATAGTCAAGAAACCTGATTCTGTGGCTTCTTCCTGTTTGCTCTTGCTTTCCTGAGTGGGAGAAGCCGAGTCAGAAAGTGTGAGATAATGCTCTTATACATCTGTTCTTTTCTCAAAAAGCTAGGATTGGAGGACCCATCTGACCCAGCAGTGTCCCTTCTGGGTATCTTCCCCGGAGAATCAAAACCATCAGCCCACAGCGATTTACATACTGTTTATAGCAGTTCAATCTGTAATCGCTAGATCTTGAAAACAACCCAAATGCCCATCAACTGAGGAATGGAGGCAAAAGATGTGGTCTTTTTTTAAAAAAAAAAAATATTAGTTTTATTAAGAAGTAGCAATGTAGTTTCAAAACAGGTTAGTAGGACAGTTACAATAATTAATACATTGCGTAGTGTTGTCTTTGTAGTAGTTATTCATAGTACAAGATGCAGACATGATAGCTTGTCTAAACACTATTAGTTCAAAACTTTCTTCTCATTGAACTAAGAGAAAGTAGCTGTACCTATGCTAACTATTTTGTATACACATCTCAGGGAGATGTGGTCCCTTTACACAGTGAAGCACTTGCATCCACAAACAAGAATAAATGTGAGGCACTTGTAGATAAGTAGGTGCAACTTGAAACTATACTCTCAAGTGAAATAAACCAGACGTACATGTGCAAACATCATGGTTTCTCCCTGGTGTGAGAAGCTGAAAGAGTAAATCAGATCCAAAATGTACAATAGATATTGGGAAATGGGAAGAAACTTCAAAGGAAAGAGAAACTGGGGTGGGGGAAGGGAGAAAAGAGCAACAACATATATATTCTTAACATATATATATACATATATATATATTAGTTATGCTACTAATTGCTATTTATTGAAAAGAAAGGTTCTAATAAGAACCTTTTGAGCTGGCCTGATAGCTCAGTGGACTAAGGTGCCCGCTTAGGCAGAGTGCAGTGGCTGGGGTTCGATCCCTGGCATGCTGTGCCAGTTGCACCTGCTGTGCGCGCTGAGATGGCAATGGAGGCCGGGCGTGGTGGCACGCGCCTATAATCCCAGCACTTGGGAGGCTGAAAACAGGAGAATCACTACGAGTCTGATCTATGTAGTGAGACCCTGCAGACCTAGTAGACCCTGTCCTAAATACAGAAAAAAAAAATAAATAAAACACTTCTAATAAGAACCTTGATTGATATTGTTTGGACAATTAAATACTGATATCTTGTACGCCAAGTAACTAATTTAAAGGTAACAATACACAATGTATTAACCATTGTTGCCCTCCTATTACCTTGTGTTAATTTTTTTCTCTTTAAAATAAATTTTTTTAGAAATCTGTTACCATTCCAAGGAGTTAAGGGGTGTGGTTTTATTTGATGTGCTTGCTGGCTTCTAGCATGCTTAGAAGAGGCTCAATTAAAAAGGTGCAATCACTCTTTATGCAAACGTTTGCAGCCTTCCTGCAAACTGAGGGTGCGTTGTTACTCCCATAGTGGAGAAGACAAAGGCAAAGAGGCGATTGGGAAGAATCCCGAGGGCGAGAGCTGGGTCCTTCTCTCCTAACTGGTTTATTTCACAGATACCACGGAGAGCAACTGGTACTGTGCACTGCCCTGTGCAGACAGGAACTCTTTGGATTTTTGCAACAATCCCATGTAGTTATCGCTCTTCTGGTCAGTATCCCAAGTTTACAGATGAAGATGCTCATATACTGATTAATTTGCCAGAGATCACAGCTAGCAAAGGCAGAACTGAGTACTAGCTCAGGCTGTCTGGCTCAAGCTTTGAACCATTATTTGGTCCTGCTAGGTAGCTGTTAAATGGTATTGGGCAAATCTTTTCATTTCTGAGCTATAAACTAATTTTCCTTTTAGGCAAATTAATTTTTGCTCAGGTGGATGTTATAGGAAGTCTACATCTCTCTCTGTCTCTGTCTCTGTGTCTGTCTGTCTGTCTGTCTTTCTCTCTCTCTGTGTCTATGTATGTGTTCAGGTAAGGAGAGTAGTTATAAGATCTTCCAGTTTCATCCATTGGTGACAACATAACATATATATAGCAAACTCTCTTTGAGATCATTGCACAAAGCCAGTGATGACAAGGAGGGAAGTTGTCACTAAACTGACCCTGCTCTCTTGGTACACATGAAGTACTGATGTTCCCAGACCCCATCGTTCCCAGCTGTCTTCTGGACACCCTGGAGACACAGCTGTCAGGGGTGCGCATGTACAACAGAGCCAGCGTAGTTTGTCTGTTGGCAGGAACTTTAAGTCGGTCACCAAGCAGGGTATGGTGGCGCACACCTGTAATCTCAGCACTTGGAAGGTTGAGGCCAGAGGATTGCTGTGAGTTCAAGGCTATCCTGAGCTACATAGTGAGTTCAGGGGCAGCATGAACTGTATCACAAGACCCTGTCTAAATAAACAGACAAGTAAATAATCAAGTCTAAATGTTTCAGAACAACCCCAAGAGTAACCCCATATTTCAAAGCCTATACATTTTATTTTTAATTAAGTATAGTCACTACGTATGTTGAAGATAGGACCAAAGTACTGATTTCAACATCTCAAATTAAATAATTCCTTTTAAAATTCTATAAACCCGCCATTCTGTATTCATCTGACTCTCTTTCTCCAAGGAACACTAAACATGTTGACTATAAACTATTTTTGCTACGTTCCTGGGACATCATCTTTCTATAAGCCGTAGCACAGGTGAAGATACTTGGGTTTCTTCTGACAGCCTTGTAATAATTCAAAAAGATGCCTTTCCCTAGAAGATTCAAAAGATACGCACACTCCTTAGTTAAGACATATTAAGATATATTAAGACAAATATGCATTCTGTGTATGATCTCTGATGGATCTGTTTCCAGACAAACCACACACACACATGTTTAGGGCACTAGCAAGCATGCACATGCACACACATATGTGTACATGCACACACACACACACATGCATGCACACCACTCAAAAAAATATATAAAATTTTACTATTGTGATTTTTAAGACTTTAAAACTTGAAATTTTCACTGTGGAAAATTACTCACTTGGCAAACTTTCACACGCATTAATATTTTAAAATATTTTTTGAATTGTATATAATTAGGAGTAGGAGGAGGGCATTATCTTTTCTGGGCTCCTTGAATCTGAACTAGGAAGTGACTGAACCAAATCTTACTTTGCCAAGAGTAGCTTTTGACCATGGTGGGATCACAAGTCTTGCACTGTAGAAGAAGGGCACACCCAAAATCTAAGGAATCCTAGGCCTTATCTAGACCCTTAGTGGGGGGGCTGGTGAGATGGCTCAGTGGTCTAAAGCACCTACTTAGAACAAGCTTAGCAAAGCACAGGGACCGCGGTTCAATCCCCCAGCACCACATGCCAGCCAGCCCTGCCCCCTGATGGGCTGAGCTGGCCACACATACACACACACACACACACACACACACACATAAATTAATTAATTAATTAATTTAAAAAAATAGACCCTCAGTGGATGGAACATCAGTGGGTTTAATCCTAGGAATCTTTCTTTTCCTGTACAACAGATTTCAGTAGGACCATCTCGGTGAGGACCTGCAATGTTTGATTGATATCATCTCAGATGCAAGTCAGCTCAATGACTTGTTCAGAGATCCCATTGTCCTTTCACAGCAGAATTAGAGCTTTAACCAGACATCTGACAGGCTGACAGGTAGTCCTGCAGTGCTCAGAACCTTGGTACTCAAGGAATCACTTAGAGTTTATTTTAGCTCAGGGACTTCAACGTTATGGTTGAACTTGAACGAAGCCCAACAATGCAGCTGATATCGAGAAACTTGTCTTCCAGAGCCATAATTTTCTTCTCCAAGCACCTTTTGCTGGAGTTCCTGACACTATGGACACAGTCTGGCAATGATTACATCTAATACAATCTTTTGTCATCAACCTTTGTTAGTGGATCAGGTACTGATAGTTTGAGGCAAAGCAGTGTTTATGTTACAGAAATATACTCTTCATTGCCTAGTCTTATTTAAAGCTTACTCTTAGCAGTTCATGGTTTCAAAATAAGCACCATCTGTCATCCGGGGATGGCTATCTTGTTTGGGATTCATTTAGAGGGAATGCCACATCTAGACATAAACATCCCCCAATCAAGCTAAAATAGTTGGTTCGGTTTATGAAAAGGGTCCAACATCTGTATGGCAAATGGAAATTGGACCAGGGTTTAATAATTGCTTCCTAATAAATAAACATGAAGCTATTTGCATGTCGTTGGTACTGTTTCTGAGCAGAGGCAGCCACTCCCACCAGAGGACTTCCCAAGAGAGCGGAACAAGAACAGTGTTCATTAATGAGCATTGCAAACAGTCACCCAATGGTCCTTGTAACCAGCCGGGTTTCCTTCTGCTTTCTTGCAGCTGCTGTACTTCCTGCTCAGTGCCCTGGGCCTGACCATCTGCGTGTTGGCCGTGGCGTTCGCTGCCCACCACTATTCACTGCTTGAACAGTTTACCTGCAAGCTAGCCCTCGACTCCTGCCAGTGCAAACTGCCCTCCTCGGAGCCGCTCAGCAGGACCTTTGTTTACCGGGATGTCACTGATTGTACCAGCATCACTGGCACTTTTAAGCTGTTCTTACTCATCCAGATAGTCCTTAACCTGCTCTGCAGCTTCGTGTGCTTGCTGGCCTGCTTTGTGATGTGGAAGCACAGGTACCAGGTCTTCTACGTGGGCGTCAGGGTGTGCTCCCGGACAGCCTCTGAAGGCCAGCAGCAGAAGGCCTAACTGGCTAGCTCTGAGGTAACAGAGGAAACAGCACACTTAGGAGCTGAGGAGAAAAAGATTTTTTTTTAAAAAAAGTATTTAGTACAGGGTGTGCAGGGTCTTACTACATAGATCAGACTCGTAGTGATTCTCCTGATTTCCGCCTCCCAAGCACCGGGATTACAGGCGTACACCACCATACCCAGTCTCAATCACCATCTCAGTGCGCCCCAGGGGTGGAGCCGGCACTGCACACCAGGGATTGAATCCCAGTCCCTGTGTCTGCCTAAACAGATGCTTTAATCCGCCAAGCTATCTGGCCGGTCCTGAAAAAGAATTTTTTCTAAAGGAAAGAGAACACTTTTGACAAGAAATACTCCTCACTGCTCTAAATGACTATTTTTATATTTTTCACAAAGCAAAGAATGTTTCTTCAGGTTTCTATTATATTTTTAAAAATTCTTGGGTTGGGGGGACAAGATCCAAATTGATATATTGGGTATTAAAAGTTGAAAGAACGCTGAAGAGGGAAAGAATGACATAGATCTAACTTTAGAGTCCGGATTTATTCCTAATACTCATTTTATTCAATACTTATATAATCTTTCCTTTTGGTCTGGTTGAATGATATGAATTGACAATACAGGCCCACCTGCCAGATTTTGTAGAATCTTCTAGTCTTTCCCACCTCTCACCACTCTCTTCACGGTGTCTCCATGGAAGGTAGCAACAAGGGAGGAGCCGCATGTCGAGGTACAACGTCTGTATTTCCTGTGGTGGACACGTCTGCGGGCCACGCTCGCTTTAATAAGCAGAGTAGAGAAGAAATAGACTTGGCGGTAGGCTAAACCATCGTGAACACCTGGGCTGGGATGCCGGATCTGGGGCTTCCTTAGTTGGTTTCTGTTAAGTGGATCACTTGCTAAGTGTTTGGGGATGCTTGTCTGACTCTCAGTCGTCAGAAGGTAGTGGAAGCCGTATTCGTAACGATGCAGAAGGTTTAAAAATAACTACATTGTGCTTCTACTCTATCTTCTAAAACAAATCATTAAAACTAATTCCTAGCTAATTGTTAATTATAATTATGCTCAGAAGTCTATTTAATGAGCTCCGGTTGTACTCAGGCAGTCATGACGGTGAGAAAATACTCTCACAAAAAAGCACACTTAGAGATCCTCCCCCCAACCCTAAAGACCAAGAAAAATCTCTTTCATAATGCTCAGGTTAAAAGCATTCATTTAAACGAACAAACAGACAAGCATTCATCATAGGAAATGTTTATACAAATAGCACATTTGTGATTTGATACAAAGTACCTGTCTTGGCAACCATGTACCTATCAAGGAAATGGGTAGTGCTGATGAATTTCATTCATAAAACTGTATTTGATATGTTGCCCCTTGATTGATTTGTCTGCAGTCAAACTGCAGAGTCCAAATACTGTTGTCATATGGTGGTTGTAGTGCTTGAGGTGGTCCATGGCCTTGGGGGGCAGTCGTCTTGTTTTTAATTAACTAAGGCTTAAAGCTCACGTAATCTATCATGGTACTATTGTTTTTTTTTTTTTTTGGTACTATTGTTATTTTTTTTATTGTTTTCACCAAATTTATTAAATGGTTTCATATTACAAGGTAGATTATTTCCAATAATGATCAGATTTTTTATATAGCAATACAATCAAATTATCCCCTTCAGTAATACAGAAAGAGAAGTTCATGACTTTTCTTGGTTACTCGGTACTATTGTTATTATATCCTAAATAACTTCAGTGTTTTAAGGAAGGGACTAAAAATGAAAATTCAGGCATCATAAATGCTATCAAGAATGTCTTTATTAGTTCTCTATGTGGAATGCAGAAACTCAAGATAAGAGCTGAGCCTGATTTGCCTCTCCACGCTGCCTATTGGTACTTTCCTGATCATGAAATTCTACCCTAAAGGGCAAATATGTTCTTATTTGCCTATGAGGATACATGAATAATTCCATTGATTGTAATACTGGTGTCAATTTTTCACATTAAAAATACTCAAATAAAAAGGGAATTGTTTCAACAGTAACCTGGAAGATTATAAATATATTTTCTGTCCTCCAGATAAAACACCTGATGCACAAATGTGAAAACCTTTTTGCATTTTAACTCTCTTTAAAAATGGTCTTGCTATGCATCAGCGCAGGCATGAAGGCCTATTGGATGGCTCAGTGGATAAAACTCTAGGGCAGAATTGATCACAAAAAATATCCTCAGCGGAGCACCAAGCCTCTTGGAGATGACCTCAAGAATTCCTGGTGTTCTGTGAAGAAACATGCCAATAATTTATTCCACTTTGGTTTCGCTCACGTTTTCTGCATAGAGAAAGAAGTGATGGAGAATCTAGAATGGTGTACGCTTTCACAGAGTAAGAAGGTCATGCTTTGATGCTACTTCTTAGGAATCTGGGCACCACTGGAAGCCCATCCTGAATACCTTTAGCAGTGTTTTTTAGTGAAGTCTACAAGATTTTATATTAGAAAATTGAGGTTTTCCACATCACTAAGGTGCTCAATGCTTTACAGATCATTCACAGGGTATCTTAAATAGGAGATTACCTTTAGCTTGTATACTTTCTTTTTCTAAATAATGCAACCAAAAAAAAAGCTGAGATAGCAACAGGCTTACTAATAGTATGTATACGAATCAGGACACACACACACACACACACACACACACACACACACACACTGTACACATACACAACAGGGATTTTGCTTTTGTAATCAAAGAATTTTAAATACCCAAAGAAAAAAAGAACAGAACAGAAAAGAGAGGAAGAAATTCCTCTGCCACAAGCTCACTGGGTATTGATATGTGTAAGAACCGCGATGCATGAATAACTAACTGCTTTGAGCTGGATTTGAAGTATTTTGATGTTATGTTTTGCAAATATTGAAATTAGAATAAGGGTAACAGAAAAGGAACAGTTACACAGCTTTACACTTAGCAAAATGCTACATTTAAAAGCTGACAAGAAGCCAAAATGGTGACTGTTTCTTCTAAACCATAGACGGTAAGATTTGCGCAATCCTCCTCCTCGCCCACCTCTTTCAGGAGAATTAAATGAATCAAGACTTTGGAAAGAAGGGGAATAGCCAGGACTTGGCAGGACTTGAAATAGGAGGAAGACAGCAGCCTAAATGTACAGACTTTGTAACCGAGCCCACTCCGTTGGCTTGTGCCTTCACGTGACCACCATCTGTGCCTCCCTCGCGCCATCCAACTCTGCGTAGGCAGCACTTTGGAACTCTGCCTAAGAGTATAGCTCCACCAGAGCCCTGGAAACTGTAGTCAAGTAACAGCCCCAACTTTTGTTTTCCTCTTTGGATTAAAAGTGCAGATGATTCCTTTTGAGGGATTTCCAGCTCCAGATTTCAAGCGTGTTGTCCTGACAGCAAGAATGCATTATGGATGTGTTTGTGTTCATGTCCAAGACGTAGGATCTTTTCATATTCTTGTCTTTCCCTCCTTTCATGCAGTGTGTCTGGAATATATTTATAAAATTTTAGTGAAGACGGGGACAGTGGGTATCCATGGGAGATTCTAAGGAACAGCTGTGGAGTGGTTACTTTTAACCATAATCAGAAATGTACAAACTGCCCTGCAGTTACAATCATTTGCAAATACGAAACTCACTGTGATGTTTTCTAGAGATTGTTTGTGAATCCTTGCTATGTGGGGATACATTTCTGCAAATCTACTGGCTTTCGGCTTTTAATTTGTTCAAAAACTATCATGTTTTTAGCTGAACACTGTCCATAGAGCTACGTGATGGCCAGATCTATTGACTCACAGTGGAAATATCCATTTGGGTGAAGACTTTGTGGTTGAGCCTTTGAAATGAATACCTTGATTTGTTTCTTCTGATTTTCTAGAACTTTATTATCGCGAATGATTATTATTATATCCTTCAAAAACATTAGTCTGTATTTTGGTGTTGCGGTTTCATTCTTTTGGCCTTGATCAAAGAGTGTGTAGAAAATGAAGTGTTTCTCTCTGCTTGAGGTGGTTGTTTTTAAAGAGGATGTGTATACTACAGATTTTCTTAATAAAATTCTCAGTCTCTGAAAACACAGTGTTGGGATGTTTCTAAGTGACTGGTGTATATAAAAATCTCTCAGGTGAGTATTTACTCAAAACAACTTCAGAAATCTGGCCTGGAAATAGACCAGAATTCATCTTATTTTGACTTCTTTGTCTTTTAGCAGAATCATTCGTAATGCTAGAAAAAAAATGTTTTGAAAGCTACCTGGGATGCCAATTCTTCATTTGCATGAGAGAATGTCAAATCAAGTTTCCCTAAAGAATGGGATATTGGCCCAGGGAAATGGCTCGGTGGAATAAGCTCTTCCCTGGCAAGTGCAAGAGCCTGAGTTCAATCCCCAGTTTCGCAAAAAAAAAAATAAAAATAAAAAATAAAAATAATAAAAAAATAATAATAATAATAATGGAATATGCATTGAGTGTCATACAGTCAGTCATAGTCTTGGTTCATTTACATTGAAAAACAGAAAAACAGTTCAACTCTCTGTTCAAGGATCCCCTCGCCCCCTCCAACTCAGAGACAATTTAAAGCATTAATGATGGTACAAAATGCAGTGGTTCTTTAGACAAACTTGTAGTATGTGAAAAAGAGTAACACTTTGGAGCACACATGCAAAGATGGATTTGTTAGGATTAGTGCTAGTGTCGTAGGTCCCTTGCTTGGCAGTCCATGTATTGACTATGTAGCTTTGAACAAGCCATTTGGTTTTCTTAGCTTCCTGTCACATGGAGAAAGCAGAGAGCAAATCTAACTGCCTTCCAGAACCATAGGACAGTTTGGATGAAGTTTGCAAACACACAGGCTCATGCAGAGTCCTTACTCTATATCTGGTTTCTTTCTTCTTCAGCTTAATCTACATAGCCTCTGCCATTTGTCCTGTATCACCGGACATCAGCCTAGAAAAGCTGCTCTATTTTGTGGCCCTTTTCAGTGATATCAGTTTTATAAGCCAGAAACATTGTCCAATAGGACTTAGAAAAATGCCACTTTTAAAATATGTTACTAT